GGTAAATCAAAACCACTTCTTGTACACAGAAAAAAAGCCAAAAAACAAAGACATGGAGTGTCTTCTGTATTAGGGAGAGGATGGGCGCCTGTAACTGAGGCCAGTGTTGCTGGGGGCTGACTCTAGATATGAGAGATATGGGGACAGGGCAGTAGTAATAATTGTAATTGGCAAAGTAATAATTAAAGAATAATTGAAGTAATAATTTTCATCTGACTATGCAAAGATACTGTAAAAAAAAGTGGGATTTGAGCCTTAAAATTAACTCAGACAGCTCTGTGAGCTTTCTAATGGTGAGTTTCGTGGCAGTGGTTCAGAAAGGGTTTATGGGGCTATTCATAATTCCTCCAGTTTGTATTTGCAGTAGTTTGCTGTGGAAGACAGCCTCTCTTACTGTGTCATGAAAAACGGTATTATTTCTCTTATCTGTCTTTGCCCATAGAAAGTTAATGATATAGGAAAAATCCAGCCAGACTGAGTTTTGTGCTGTGGTGGATATTAGTGCTGGCCCTGGGAAAGTCCCATTGGACAAAGGAGAAATATCTGTAAGTCTCATGGCCTCAATTTTTTACTGTACAGATGCTGCATCTTGCTGGACACACGGGGTGAATTCGGAATTCACCCTGTTCTTAAACTTCTCCTTTGAACACTACAGCTTTGTTACTCTGTATTTTTAATTTTCCAGCCTTTTCAAAATAAAGCCTTGTAGCAGTTTGCAGTAACAGATCAAGTCATAGAATCAACTCTCTGAAATGGGAGGATGCTGGGAGAAACCTTTTTAAAAGTACCCCAAATCCTCCAAGCAGCAGACACTGCCTTTTAACACCACAGTTAGTAGTTTGGCTCCTTTGCTGTACCTTATCTGAGTTTGGAAGGGGACAAAGAAGCCTGCTGATAACTGTGAACGAACACTAACCTCTGTTCTCAGCCATCACGCAAGGTTGGCTAATGAAAACAGAGAAGTAAAGGTGGAAAAGCACCTGTTCTGCCTCACTGATAGAAAAAAAAAAATATATATATATATGAAACATTTGCATGTATTTCAGAGCAGTGGTATAGAGGAAGCTTTAAGCAGCCCCTTCTATGTCTGTGATTAAGTGGCATGAAGTATTTGCATGGCTAAAAGCCTCCTGAACAGGGTAGGGACTTTTGGTCATCAGCATATAAAAAGAGTGGAACACAAAGAGGCTTGTTGCATTTTAAAAAATACATAAAATTGGTGTTTTCCAGCAGCTGTCCTGTTCTGCATCAGTGAAACAGCGCAGGGTTCTGTTTCATGGGCGGGAGTGAATATTCACGGTGCTGTGTGTGTGTTATGTGACTGAGAGTCCCCCCGTGTTGTGTTTGTCCTCCGTGCACCTGCTTCCCTGGCTCAGCTGAGCCTGGAAGGGCTTGGTGAGCCCAAACCTCAGCCTGGGAAAATCTGCTGACTGTCACAGCTCGGCTTTCTTCTCGCTCAGCCCCGAGGAGTTCACTTTTTCACGCTCAAATAGTTTTTCTGCTTTCTGTCAAGGGTGTGGGATATGAAAAATTGAGTGATGCTGGCCCTAGGTCCTTGGAGGGTGTGAGCCGCGGGGGCGAGGCAGCAGAGCTGCCCAGCTGTGGAAAGGGGTTTTCTTGCAAAATTTCCTTTTGCTTCATCTCGTCATCTTGTCTTGAGGAAGTCACCAGCACTGAAAAGAAGCAGGAGCAGTTTCCTGAGGCTGGTGCCACATTGTGTGAGCCTGCTGGGCACCAGGCCTGGCTGCAAGCACGCTGGCAAAGCTGGAGACCAACGAAAATTGTGACAAAATGTGTATTTCTTGGCATAATCCTAGCATTCTCTGTGTCATTTTAGATGGGTTTGAGGAGGTGGCTGACTGATCTTGGAAAAGGATGTATTTGGTCTGTTCCTCCTCAAAACTAATTGCTCAAACTGGCCTGTGTGTTTATGGGATTGCTTATTTCTTGAGATCCAATCAGAAACCTAATCAGACATACTTTGAGATCCATCTTTTGCAATGCAAAGGACTTGTCCTTCTAGAGAAGTACATCTTAGTACATCTTCATCTTAGATCTAGAAATGGGCTACAGGTTTTGTGATGTTGAGGTGAAAAAAATCCCTCCACCAGATTTTGAATTTGACTTAAATTCTGGAAAGGCTTAAGGGAAGAGTTCTGATTTAAGCTCTGAAGTATTTTTCATCTTTGCTCTCAAAAATTCTCTCTGGGACTCACCTGCAAAAATCAGGGAAGAGGTCATTATCTTTGATGCCTTCTATTCCTGAGTGACCCTGCTCTTCAAGGCTTCAGGATTCTTCCAAATGAATTAAAAACCATGGGTGAAGTTGCGGCAGTATCTGTGGTCATCTTCCTTTAAGTCTTTTCCCAAAGACTTCTGGTTTTGCCTCATTACTCTTCCCTTTTCTGCTTGGAAGCAGAAGTTTGGAAATTTTAGTAAACTTCTTGCTGGTTGTGCCTGGTCTCTGACCAGAAACAAGGCAATCCTGAGTATTGCAATAAAACCCACTGTGAAAGTGCTTTATATTCGAGGTCCTTGAACTTAACACTAGAACTTCTGGTTTTGTCTTGCAGTCATGGAGTTTTGCTGGTCCTGGCTTTAGGGGCCTTTGTGAATTGGCTTCATAGTTTTATTTTTTTTCTTAATTCTTGGCAGCCTTTTACTTGCAGAAAAGTCTTTCTTAGCTCCCCACAGCCTGGGAGCTTTGTGCTTTAGCATGCCCTGTGCTTCTTCCTTTGCATTGCCTTTTGAGCACACTGGAAATGGATGGAAAATGAAGTATGAGTTAAAAATGAAAAATGTTTCTTCACCGTGGTGGAGGGGGACTTTGGAAAAGACACTGGAGTGACAGGACAAGGGGGAATGGCTTCCCACTGCCAGAGGGTGGAGTGAGGTGGGATACTGGGGAGGAATCACCACCCTGTGGTTGTGAGACCCTGGCACAACTTTGCTTGCCCCTCTGTGACTGTGCTCGCCCAGATGATGCTGTTTCAGAGCAGAGAACAGGTGGACAGACACGTGCATCCAGCCTTCCAGCCAGGCCAGAAATACAGCACACACTTTTTGAGTCATGCCCCTTCATTCTTCTTGAGCAACTGAAGGCAAAGGGGGATGGAGGTGATGAGTCCCCACCTCCACCTGTACTGTGGCAGCAGCTCTCTGGCCACGGTAAAGGAACAAATGACTTTCCCAGAGCCATGCCTGGGAAAGGCTGTGAGAAGATCAGAGAGAAGAATTAGAAACAACTCTTGTCTTCACTTGCTGCACCTGTTGTTGTGAACACGTGGAATGTGTTACGGAGATTTGTCTACCAAAGGGTGGTTTTTTAATTAGCCAATGGTGATGGTGTTTGGATTGGAGGAGCAATCAATTCCACCTGTAGAAAACTAAGGTGTAAAAAAGCAATGGGTTTCTTAATAAATTAAATTATCAGCCTTCTGTGAATACATGGAGTCTATGTTGATTATTACCCAACCAGGGGCCCGTTGCTGTGACACTTTACTGTTGCTGCCATTCCAAGGACTTTTCCTGTCCCACTTTCAGTTCAGGAACAGACTGTTGAGGCAGAAGGTGAGGCTGCTTCTCCTCACTCCTGTGGTGAAGTGAGAAGGCAGTAGTGCCCTTTGAGATAAAGTGGTCTCATCCTTTCCCTGCATCCCTAAAAAGGGGTGACAGGAAAAAGTCATTGTCACCCTACACCTGTAGACAGGGAAATAGGAAAGAGATTTCCCTCAAAGAGAGGAAAAATGAAAGGAAGCTTTAGCAACCACTTTCATCATCAGCATATTTGAAAACCCAGTGCATGCAGAGAAGAAAAACAACCTGAGAATTGGTAATCCTATTCCTTTTCCTGATATCCCACTTTGCAGAGGACCTGCTGTATCTGAGCCCCAGGGCAGCGGGACCTTGCAGGTCCTGTACTAAATGTCTGGCTTCATCACTTGGTGCATCTGACCCAGTAATTCTAGGGTACAGACAGCATCCAGGAATGCAGGATTGTGGGATGGGAGCTGCCTGAAACAAAGGATGCTCCTGCACTTGGAGGTAATTGAAGGGCAGGCAGCAGACCTGGCTGGAGGGGAAAGAGCCAAACAAGGTCAAGGAATTAGCCAGTCCCAGCTCCAGCATGAGGAGTGTTTGATTAATTAAAACGTACAGTGCTGGGGAGGTAATGAACTGCTCCAAGGCTGCGTGACGAAATCCTGCTGTGACCTGTTGAAAACAATCTGTCTGGTTTCCCTCAAGTTTCCAGAATGTGAATACGGGGGGTGCTGCTTTCCTTGTGCTGCAGGATTACAGAGAGTGGATGAGAGAATTCTCTTGCTCTTGAGAGAATTTTTTTGTGCCATCAGTGCCATGGCTGAGCCTTTTGGTGTTTTTTCCAGGGCTATACCCAGTCCAGTGGGTACAAGTCTTTGGTCTCCAGGGCAGCTGCCACTGATGCACTCTACCTTGGCCTCAATCAGCAAAACATCCTTCGGGGAGAGAGATTATTTTAAAGGCTGAAGAAATCTGTTTCCTGCAGGAAAAGGAGGGATTGTTTTGCTGAGACGAGGTACATTTGGGCCTGCCTTAGTGGTTAATGAGAATGCAAAGGATGAGTTTTTCTCAAAAAAAAATTTAAAAAAAAATTTAAAACCACCACAAAAACCAAAAACCAACCATGTGGTGATCTGATTCTCGTTAATGCAGCCTTGGGTGGGATGTAGTGTGAGCTTGGCATTCTGCAAGACATTGATGCAAGTCTACAGACATCTTTCACCTCAGCTCCTGTGGTGCCTTATTATCAAGGGAGTGGAGTAATACAGTGAATTTTGTCTTCTCTGTGTTCAAGTTTGAATGCCAAGTAATAGTTTCAGATTCACCGGTTTTTTCCATCTAATTCTTTGCACACTGTAGCCATTATTTCTAAAATCTCTATTAGAAAACAATCCACGATTCGTTTCCAGGTCAGAGGCTTAATAAGCTGCTGCTAATCACTTTTCCTTGCTGCATTTCAGGCGGCAGCAGCAGGCCTCAGCTATGTCGGGGCGTACGTCATCAACACCTACAAGAGCTACGACAACTTTCTGCAGGACAAGTACGCCGTGCTGCCGGCCGTGATCATCATCTGCGTGGCCGTGGTGATGTTCATCATCGGGCTGATCGGCTGCTGCGCCACCTTCCGCGAGTCCCGGGTCGGCCTGGGGCTGGTGAGTGTCGCCTGCCTCCCGCCGGCACGGGAGGGAGCCGAACACAGGGAAAGGTCCTGGTGGTAGCGCTGCTGAAGCACTGATGGGTTGTGCGAGTCACCTACAGCTGGGATGCTCCGGTCCGCCCCAGATGAGTGCGGGAGCAGCAAGTTTGGAG